TTCATCTTTGCATCTAATTTTTTTAGGGAAGGCATTGATATATCTGTGCATGAGAATACATTTTTGGTTCGAATGGCAACTCCTTAATGGATGTTTAGGCCTTTCTGTTCATGTGACTAAATCCACCCCTTTGTGTTCTGGGACTGATTTATGGATGTATTGGTATGGACGGCAAATCGAATGGATGGTGATGGGTGGACGTACTCTTTTGTGTCCAAACATCGAACATGTACGTGTGCAAAAAAAATTACATGTTCAAATTCTATAAGGAAAACTTACAAGTTTTGTTTTAATTTATTTTTTTGTATGTTACCAAATTCATATTATTAATCTTTTTGTTTTGTTTCTTNTTACAGGACTTAACAATGCTTCTTTTGCTTTGAAAAATGATCAAGTTGGAAGTGAACATTCGACGAGCCACAATCACCAAAAAGTCTTTCGGATGGACAAGCTAATGTGGCCAGATTTTCATGGATAGATGAGCATAGTGGAGGCAGATTTAACATTGAAACAAGAAGTTTGAAATCATTTTTTGGTTTATGAATACTTTAATCATGATAATGTATTGGCTTTCTTAGTCCTTATAGTTTCTAGACTTTGATCAAATGTGATGAATTTGTTTCTCTTTCAAATACAGCTAATAGACNTTCAAATATGTTTGTACAACCATAACACAATATGCTTTGTATATCTTCTTATGAACATGGAATGTTGAATACTTCGTAGTATTAATTTCGTAAAACCGATGATTTGTTCTTCTGTGATGTTTCTTCCTATATGGTAAAAGACTGGACATCAAGTCGTCCTTTCATATATGGAGCTTCTTTATCAACTCCATCGCGAAACATAACGAGATTGCTACATCAAAACAACACTTGTTTGGTAATAAACAATGTCAAGACAATTTTCCAAAGAAATANTAATTTTCTAAAATCTCAAACAAAGAATCACACTTGGACCATGTTCTTCACGAAAGAGTATTTTACACAAATGAATTAATTTTCAATTAAATTTTATTGGTGTTCTAAAAGTATGTTTCACTTCAATTTTCTTGTTTCTTCCAACAATTCTCGCCGCAAGACCTCAAATGGATGTCTTCGCACGATTTTCCATGTTCTTTCTTGGTTTTGGTTCAGGCTTGATTTTGTTATTAGCTCCTGGATCATTGTTATTAGCTCAATATACTACCATCGATACATGACCATCTATACGTGACCAGCTTCGACTATCCTCAAAAACTGTCTTTACCCAAATCATCGTAACTTTCCCTTTTTCATCTCTAGCACATCTAGAAGAAGATAAGATACTAGTGATCAAAAAGTATTGATAAATCCAACAATCATAAAGCTTAAGAAATTGCAGTTGCTTCTCAATTCTTATCTTAAACCAACTCTCATGTTCTATTGTGGTGTAGTGGTTTAACGTCGATGAAATGTCTACGAGAAGCATATATGCTGTTTTGGAGAACTTTTTTTTTAAAGCTCTTTGTTATTGGGCTTTCAATTTTTTGCTTTAGAAATATAATCCCCACGGAGAAGA